TCTCCAGTCCAGTAGACCAAAGTGGGAGGGTCCTCCAGGAGGGTCTTAGGACCTCTGGGTTGAGGAATTCCCCAACAGTACATATTCTGATAAGTCTGTTGAATTTAAATTAATGGACCAGCTAACAAAGGAACTCCATATATTTATTTGTGCATCTCCCTCATTCTGTGGAGTTGCTACCCACTTGACATCAGCCCAATCAGATGATCTGGGGGATGGCATGAGCAAGATGAGAATGGGGTGGGGTAAATAGTTCAGTTAGGCTATAAAGTAGAAAATGGTAAGGGAAGCAGTGTGAGAAGAGGTTAGACTGATAATCTGGAACTAGATTGTGAAGGGCCTTAATTAAATAAGGGCAGAAGTTAAACTTTATTAGTAGGCAGTGAGGAATGAATGAAAATTATGGTGTATAAAAGTGATAACACAAAGGAAAGAGAAGGAATGAGGCAGAAATCTTTTCCCTGTTCTCTGTTCATGTCCTAAAAACCAAGTACTGATGACTATGAAAATGCATTTCAGACAGAAAAAGAACTTTCTAGAGGGAAAGCAGCACAGTTTAGAGGGGAAGTGGTTCATATAAGCTTGAAAAAGAAACATTTGTATTGGACAACCTGTGCATTGTAAGGAACTGGCTTCTCTCTGTTGACTTTGGAAGGTCTCTAAAAAGAAATCAATCACCAATGTATTTAAGACTTCTGCAGAACTACAGCTGAATACTGTAGATTGTAAATGGCTTGAAAGGCCTAAGTCTACCATGTCTATAGCTGTTTATGTGGTACTTACCACCTTTATCTCTTGTTTTGCTTTCCTTATTGAGTTTCTGCTTCTCAGTCTTAGGATTCCTCTAGCTCCTGTTTCACCCCTCCTCCTTCTCCCCTGCCCCACTCTCTACTCCTAGACAGAGCCAGACCTTCTACTTGTCCTAAACCCCTACCTCACCTCTGACAGCTTGTACAAACCTAACTGGCAGAGGATATTATTTTGAGACAATGACAACACGCCCAGTAAAGGTTGTGATCCTTGTCTGTACTCTTCTATCCTGTAGAAATTTCCCTATCCCGCTGTCCTCAGTGAAAACAAAAAAGAAAACATAACTGGCTACATGATGTGTTTTGACTTGAGGGATACAAAAAGCCCCTCTGTGTCAAATGAGGTGGGTATACTCAGCTAATAGGTGCTATTCTAATTGCCACTTTTCATTGTTGGATAGATGGAGCTAGAATAACCCCAAAAATCAGGAATCTGGATAACTACAAGGCCAAAGAGTCTGTCCAAACCAGGGCTTGCAATGACTATACTCACTAGCGAAGTAGCTACTGATCTCTTCCTATTCCTATATATCCTTGAAATGCACTTCACATCACTCTGTCTCTCCAGTGGTCACTCCTTGCCTCTCGTAAGAGCAACATTTGATACTAATCTGATTGAGACTCAAGGCAGTAAGTCTAGAAGATCCTGCCCCTGTCCCTAAAAAGACAAGGAAATAATCCTTGAAACCTTATTGGTCCAGGGAACTAAATCTTGAACTCTTGACATATCTTCCCAGTCATCTAATACCAGAACACTGGTACTCAGCACACCTCAGGCTTGATTTTTCACTGCCATGCTAATCAACACAGCCTTCTGATCAGGTGCACTACCATGACGTATATGGATCCAAGAGCAGCTACACTAAACTGAATCCATGCTGTTATTTTTACTGAATATCTTTTCTATATCTTTGTTAAGTAAAACTTCTTTTGTTAAATATTACATGGTCTATATGTGTCTCATTTTGTTCCATTCCTGAATCTGAACCTTAGCACAAGACAGGGTCACGCCCCAAATATATACCTCCAAGGATCTCAATCCATCAAGCATTTGTTAAGCTGAATCTAGAGTCAATAACATTTCTGGAGCAAGGGAGTGACATGATCAGATCTGTTCTTACAGGGTATCCATTTGGCAGCTGTGTGGAGGATGGGTTGGAAAAGGGAGAAATTGAAGGCAGAAAGACCCATCATGAGGCTATTGGAATAGTCCAAGAGAAATCTGATGAGGACCTGAAATAAGGTGATGGCTGTGTGAGTGGAGGGAATGAGACAGAAACAACATATGCTGTGGAGTTGGAACTGACAAAATTTGAGAACAGACTGAATGTGGAAGGTGAGGGAGAAGAACAAGGTTGTAAACCTGAGTGGCTAGAAGAATGTAGATATTCTCAACTGAAACAGAGGAATCTGAAAGAGTCACCAAAGCGATTTTCCTATAGTGCAAGTCTGATCATGTCACCACATCCCCTACTCAATAGACTCAAGTGGCTTCCTATTGCCTCTAAGAGCAAATACAAAATGCTGTTTGGCCTTCAAAGCCCTTCATAACCTAGTCCCCTCCTATTTTTCCAGTCTTTTTATACCTTCCCCCACACACACAAATGTACTCTTTGATCCAGTGACACTAGCCTCCTCACTGCTCCACAATACACTCCATCTCTCAGTTCAGGGGATTTTCTCTGGCTGTCTCCCATGCCTGGAATGCTCTCCCTTCTCAGCTTTGACCCCTAACCTCCTAGATTTCACATCCCAGCTAAAATTCCACCTTCTTCAGGAGGCCTTCCCAACCCCTTATTTCTGTTATTTCCTATTTATCTTGCATATAGCTTGCTTTGATATATTTATCACCCCCTCAGATTGTAAATGCTCCTTGAGGGCAGGAACTTGTCTTTTGGCCTCTTTTTGTATCCCCAGTGCTTGGCACAGTGAACGGCACATAGTAGGTGCTTTATTAAATGATTCTTGATTGATTAGCTAGCTCTGGGGGATTATGGGAAGGTATGAGTTCTATTTTGAATATGTTATTTTTCAAATGCCTAAAGGATTTTCAGCTGGAGATATCCAACTGGCAGTTGTTACTGCAGCTTAGCAAAGATACTAGGGGCACATTTATAGATCATATATGTCATATTATCTGCATAAAGATGAGAATTGAACCCATGGAAGTAGTACCATGTTTGACACAGGAGATATGGAGAGAAAAGAAGAGGTCCTTAGGGGACAACCACGTTTAGGTGCAGGACACTGAGGAGTAATCAGAAAAAGAAACAAAAATCCAGGGAGAAGAGAAGTTACAGGAAGAACTAGTGCTCAACAATCTCAAACAAACAATGTTTAACAATATCAACGCTGCTAAAAAGGATAAGGACTGAGAACAGGAGACCGGATTTAGCAATTAGGAAAATGTTGGTAACCTTGAAGAGAGCAGTTTCGGTTGAGCTGTGAGGTTGGAAGCTAAACTGCAAAGGATTGAGAAATGAGTGGGAGGAGAGGAAGCTGAGGAAAGCTATGAAAGAGAAGAGACATATGACAAGGGCATAGCGGGAAGAAAAGAGAAGTTTTTGTTACTATTTTGTTGTGTTTTTGTTTGTTTTTTAAAGAATGGGAAGATCTGGATGTGTTTATAGGTAGTAGGAAAGGAAGCAGCTAGTAAATAGAAGAAGATGGAAGATTAGAGAAAGCTGGGATGTAGGGAAAAGGTGCTAGAGGCAACAGGAGGATATATAGGGTCAAAGGAACACAAAGAGGGGAAGAGAATGGAGCAAAGGAGAGAATGAAGAATTATGTTGAGGGGATTTGAGGTTTAAACTAGAAGAGAAGGAGCTCACAGCAGATGGATCCTATTTGCTCAATAAAACTGTACGAAAGGTCCTCTGTGGAGAGAAGAAATGGAGTGAAAACGTATGGAATAGCCCCTGCAACAAGGGGATAGTTATATGCAAAACAATTAGACAGATTAAAATGATTCGGGCAGCTGGATGGTGCCTGGATTCAGAAAGACCTGAGTTCGAATTTGTCCTCAGACACTTACTGGCTGTGTGACCCGGGCAAGTCACTTAACCCTGTTGGCCTCAGTTTCCTCATCTGTAAAATGAGCTGAAGAAGGAAAATTGCAAACCACGCCAGTAGCTTTGCCAAGAAACCCCCAAAAATGGTGTCACAAAGAATAGGACTCAACTGAACAACAACAAAAAGATGATTGTGCAGCCTAAAGGTCGAATTGGATTAGATAAATTTACAGTGAATCCGGTAAAAACAAATCTCGAGCCTTCCTCCAGGCTGTTCGTTAGCACCCGAGGAGTGGGGACGAATCCCGGGACGGGCACTGAAACGGCAAAGGGACCAGGGATCGGAAAGCCGGGGTCAGTGCACGACACGTCTGGCGGCTTCGACCACGGGAACACGAAAGAAGAAAAGCAGGCAAGACGACCCGGGACGGCCCAGGGCACAGGGCGGGTGGAGCTGGGGCACTCCCCAATGCTACCCCTCCCTCAGAGTCCTGGTTTAAACCCGCGCTCCGTCTGATCCTCCCCAATAGACGGCATCTCCCCCTTCTCCCTCTGACAGCGCTCACAGAGGGGTTTTCAAGGTTTCCAAAGTGCTTTCCATATGTTAACTCATTTGCCCCTCACGACAACCGTCTGAGGGAGGTGCTGTTATCATCCACCGAAGAAACTGGACAACAGGGAAGTTAAGTGACTTGTCCACGGCCGCACAGCTAGTATATGGCAGAATCTGAACTCAGGTCGGCCCAGTTCCCAGTCCGGGGCTCTACCTACAGCAGTCCTATTCACCGGGAACTCCTTTCCCGCAGGAAAGGGGGGGGAGGGAAAGAACCAACCAGGTTCCCAAGAGACCAAAAGCGGCGCACTGCATCCCTCTCTCAGGCGCCCCGGACCAATTAGATGGCATCGCGTGCCCAGACCGGATATGGGTGGGGAGATACGCGGAGCACGCTGTGACCCGGCACCAAAGGACCAATCCCGAGGCACAGAGCCCACCCTGGTGTCCCGCTAGCCAATGGACAGAGAAGATGTTCCCATCCTCCCCTCTTCTGGACCAATCCTAAGGCAAGACAGAGTGGGCGGTTCCTTCACCCTGCAGTCGCAACAGTTAAAGGAGCCCTGAAAGGGAACTCGCGTATAGCCACATATACTGGGGCTGCGTGGGACTCGACGGGAGGAAGGAACATAGAGGGGAGGGGGTTTGGAAGCTGCTCGCGGCCAGTCGGCACGGTTTGGTGCAGGGAGCGCGAGTTTCGCGCATGCGTGCAGCCTCCCGCACCTGCGCGGTGACGTAGGGCTGCGTGCCGGGAAGCCCCACCCCGCTCCGCCCTTATAGCCACGGCCTCAAAGCGCGCGCGCCATTGTGTGGCTGGGATTCGGCCGCCGTTGTTCTTTCGTCTTCTGTTCGTGTTCTCTTGTTCTCCTTTTCTTTCCTTTTTCCCCCTTGTCTCTTTCCTTTTCTGTCTCTACCTTCCTACCACCTCGCCCCTGAGACCACCTCCTTTCCCCTCCCTCCCCCCGCCCACCAGCGGAAATGCCGCGCGTCTACATTGGGCGCCTTAGCTACCATGTTCGCGAGAAAGACATCCAGCGTTTTTTCAGTGGCTACGGACGCCTGCTGGAAGTCGACCTGAAAAACGGGTGAGCGCGCGGCCTGGGCGCCCTGGCTCTCGCGGTGTCTCTTGGGGTGAGGTGGGGCGGGGTGTTTGTGGGGGGGTGGAAACGAGCGTCCGCGCCGCCGCGTGGCGGAACTCGCTCTCAAAATGGCGGCGGCCCTACTGACAGGGGGCGGGGGAGGCGGGGGGCGGGGCTTCACGTGCACGCGAGGGGAGGAGGGCCTGGCGCGCGCCGCCTGGGGCCTGACCGCGTCCGGGCGTCCCCGCCCCCTTCCCCTCGGTCCAGGTACGGCTTTGTGGAGTTCGAGGACTCCCGCGACGCCGACGATGCCGTTTACGAGTTAAACGGCAAGGACTTGTGCGGCGAGCGAGTGATTGTGGAGCACGCCCGGGGCCCCCGCCGGGATCGCGACGGCTATAGCTACGGCAGCCGCAGTGAGTCCAGTTCCGCGCGTGCCGCGACGCCTCGGGGGAAAAGAGGGCGGGGAGGGCCGGAGGGGGGGGTGGGTAGGCAGGCAGGCAGGCTAGTGAGGGGCAGGCGGACCGCGGTGGCTCCCCCTGGCGGGGAGGGGAGGTGGGGCGGGGACTCAGCACAAAGGAGCCAGGCGCTCTTAGTCACTCGGGCCTAGGGCAGGTGTGCTGCGTGCAGGGGCGGCGAGGGAGATTGAGAATTGACTTGGTGTGCAGGGCTTGCCCAGAGCACCGCTGTCCTAGCTCTTGCACCGAGGAAAACTCCATACAGAGGAACCTCGGGCTGATTGTCAACCAGGGAAGGGGAGGGGGTGGGGGGAGAATCCCGAGAAGATCGGGCGCATAACAGAAACTGCCTCTGCATTTTGCTTTTCTGTAATTTGTAAGAATTCCGAACTGACCCCAGAAAGGCACCACCGGAACCAATTCCGCTGCTGGGGGTGTTAACACCCGCAGAGATGCGCTCCCTGAATTTTAGTGCACTAAACGCAAGTGTGTACAGGCAGATACCCTTCGGAGAAGTAGAATTTGAGAATCCTAGGTTGGGGGGTGGGGGGAGGTGGTAGTGCTTGGCAGCGTTGAGACTTCTCCAATAGATAGTCAATAAGTAGCTTCTGTAGAACCAACTTAATGTTGAATTAGTTTATTCAGATTGGGAATTAAAGCTAGTGTCCTGCTGTAATTGAAGTGTGGTTGGGGCATGTTATGGGGGGAGGTGGTAGTTATTTACTACTTAATTAAAATGTTAAATGTTGAAATTGTTGCATGTTGAATTCAAACTTTTTAACAAGTCCTTGATGTTTCAATTTGAAAGTGACCAATGGGGCTGAGGCTGTGTCCACTGAGGCTAAGATGACTGCCTTTCCTGATTGGCCTTGGCTTTTCCATACATTGTGTGACCCTTGCCCTATGACCCTTTGGCTGACCTTACCGGAAGCCATGACGACAGCAGCCTTTTGCCATTAGACGCAGGGTGATGGTGAGGATTCCAAGGGTTAGACAAAACTGGTTAATCTGAACTAGGTGACTGTTACCTTGCGTGTTTTGTGGCCAAACCACCACCAAAAACCTCACACTGTGATGTAAGTACTTAGTGTAACTAGTAAACATTTTTGTAAAATGTAGAAATGCATGTAATCAGTTAAGTTTTATATTTTACAATGTTCTGTAAAATAAAACTTAGCGAGGTAAATTGAATAAAGGAGCAGTCACTTTCTAACAGATTGTAGGAGAAATTTAGTAGGATTTTAGTTTATTTGACTTGCCCTTAATATAATGTATGGCAAATCACATTTATATTGGAGGTTTAGCAAGATAAAAGCAAAGTCCTACTCCAGTAAATAAATTACTTTGTTTGTACTAACTTTCAAAACATTTTGTGCTCTTAGCATTATGAAACACCTAACTATTCATTTATGTGATAAAGGTGGTGGAGGAGGAGGATACAGCAGTCGAAGAGCCACTGGCAGAGATAAATATGGACCACCTGTTCGAACAGAGTACAGACTGATTGTAGAAAATCTTTCTAGTCGTTGCAGTTGGCAGGATTTAAAGGTATATGTAATTGTTTTAAAGGTACTCCCTATTAATATGTTTTAGGAGGTGAGTGTTGTGATAAGAACATTTTGTGTCTTGCAATAATTACTTTAAAATTAAGCAGTTGTGTATTAGATTTCAGGAACTGACTAGACTTCTTTGCTAATAGGATTTCATGAGACAAGCTGGAGAAGTAACATATGCAGATGCTCACAAAGAACGCACAAATGAAGGTGTAATTGAATTTCGTTCCTACTCTGACATGAAGCGTGCTTTAGATAAATTGGATGGCACAGAAATAAATGGCAGAAATATAAGGCTCATTGAAGATAAGCCACGGACAAGCCATAGGAGATCCTATTCTGGAAGTAGATCTAGGTAATTTAAGCCATTGGTTACCATTAAGACCAGCTTTCAAGTACAGTCAATTAGGATTTCACGTACTACTGTGGAAAGTACACTGGTATTTTGGAGTCAGAACTAAGATTCTTAATCTATGTCATGACATAGAAGAGGCTACATAAAACTTAAGGTTATTTGCTTTATATATCATGTAACTTGGTGATTAGTTACTGTCTTTAGGTTTTACAGCATCAGTTATTGATGGTAAAATTATTATTAGATAAGTGATTTCCTGGGGGTGATCATCCTCAATATAGTTTGAATGCCTATTAAATAATATCTGAATGGGTTTTCATTGTATACATGAATGGAAAAACAGTACAGTTCTTGCTTTCTGTTTCTAGATCCCGGTCTAGGCGAAGGTCTCGAAGTAGGAGTCGAAGAAGCAGCCGGAGTAGATCTCGTAGTGCCTCAAAAAGTCGCTCAAGGTAAGGGGTGTTTTTTGTTTGGTTGCTTGTTTTTTGAAGTCCTGGCCTGTTCAAGGTATAGTCATAAGATGGTGTGCCTGATAAATTTTTATAATTTCTCTTTTCAAGATCCAAATCTAGGTCTCGAAGCAAAGATCACTCACGGTCCCGATCTAAAGGCAGGAAGTCTAGATCAAAGAGCAAATCTAAGGCCAAGTCCGATCGAGGCTCTCGATCTCGTAGCAGATCCAAGGCAAAGTCGGAGAAGTCACACAGTAGGTCCAGGTCTCCATCTCCCAAAGAAAATGGAAAAGGAGAAACAAAGTCAAAATCAAGATCAAGAAGCCAGTCTCACTCCAATTCACCACAACCTCCACCACCATCAAAGGCTCGTTCTGAGTCTCCTCCAGTCAAAAGGGCTACATCAGTATCTCACTCTAGATCTCGGTCACGGTCGAGATCTAGTTCAAGAGATTAAAAAGTCCTGAACTCCTTTGCACACTTATGGAACACTTTCTTACTTGCCAGGCAAATTATTCTGTGATGTTAGTACTTCCGATGTTGGCCTCTTCTCAGGAGAAAACCTGAGCATAGGGGCATAAAGGTTTGATTTGGAAGCAAAATTAATGGGGAAGAAATGAGGCTCTAGAGAAATGGTGACACAAAGCAAGCAAAGACCCCCTTTTCTAGAAATTAAGCTCTTTGATTTTATAGTATTTCAGCAGTAATAACTTTTGTAGAGATTAGGCTTACTTATGATTTTTAGCATTTCAGCAGGATCTGCTGTTGAATGAAGTTTTCTTTTAAAGTATTAAACTCTCAGAAATGCTTTAAACTTTTAAAGCTTTGGAGAGGACTCAGTTGTGTTGGTTTTGTTTTTTTTAATTATGTTCAAGTTACAAATAATCCTGAGTTGTATTAAAGGTTTGCTACCAAGAGAATGAAAGCCACAGGTCAATATTAAATGGCTTTTGAGCAGTTTTGTCTCCTTTTTTAAAAAAAAAAAATATGAACTTTGTTGTGTATGGTTAAGTGTAAAATTAGGCAAACCTCAAATCAGCAATAAATTCAATTTGGTATACCATTGTATTTCCATGTTATTAATTAAAACTTGCTAAAGTGAGTCTTCTCCCACCCCTTCCTTTTTTTTTCCCCCCACAGTAGAAACAGAAGGTCTTTGTAGGCTGTCTTGCATAATGCAGGAAATATGGAAATGTTCTAACTTGAGGTTTGCTAGTGCCCCAGGTAAATGACATTCCAAATATTTTTGGATAATTGTCTTAATTACCAACATTTTCTGGTAGTGGTCAGTGTCATTAACATCTAATATTTAGTTGCAGGGCTTGCAACTTGAACAGGAGCAGCAGCAGCAGCAGCTATTCCTTAGTCTTCCACTATATTCAGAATGGGATGTGTGAACATTAGGGCATCTTTTTTAGGTTAACAATTACTTTCATAAAACTGGAATTAGAGAGTCCAATTTGTTAAGTTGGAGGATAGGGACTTCGACCTAATATTTCCCTTAAAAGACGAACTCCTAAACGAAACTTGTGTACTGATATAGGTGGGCAACTTAGTGTCAGACAATTCCTTTGAACACTAAGGTTAAGTGATCATATCTGGGATTAAACAGCCAGGTCTTTCTGTCTAAAAAAGTTTGCTGTCTTTGCTTAGTGATGCTGCATCTAATTTTATTAAGTAAAATCCCACCCAGTTATCTCCTTTAAGTTAAGAGAATTTAATAATGTGCGATTAGAATTTCCGTGTACATTTTATACAGTGTAGGGTTTTTTAAATCAGTGGTAATTCCAAACCTTTGCTTTCCTCATAAACTTTTAAATTTCAGTCCTAGTAACATGAAACTTGAATTCACATTTATGATAACTACATTTAGATTAATTTGGAGTGTGTACATGTATGATCAAGATCTTACATGCCTGTTAGAACTTGACTTTCTGTGCAAAGACAAGAAATTGAGAGATGTCTGTCAGCTGAGTGAGGGGGAATTAATTTCAGGATGCATACATTTAAGTTTTTATTACCTTGACACTTAAAACTGAGGCCTTCCCTCAGCTCTGTTCACAAGTCAGCAAAATATTGATCTCGGTGGCTTAGAAGGGTTGTTCATAAAACAAAGGTCCACAGTAGTGCAATCAGTGAAGACAAATGTTAGGACTGAGGTTTCTATTTTAATTGATTCACTTTTAAAATGTATGCGAAGTAAAATGGGATTAATTAAATGAGCATAGTGGAAAGATCTAACGTTCTAGCTCTCTAACTAGCAAGATATAAAATAGGGGTAATTATTTTACTTCTAGCTGTTTCTTAATATTTAGATCAGAAAAAATCAAAAATCAAGTCTCAGCCAAAAAATCCTAGTATCCATTTTTTATCAAATTGGAATAGTCTGTGAGGTTGATGTTGAAAGATATGACAAAAAATTGCCTCATATTTTGAATCAGCAAAATGAGTGGTGGACGGAGACTGAGAGGACTGGTCCACTTTGTCTAAAGGTATAAACTGTCAAGGAGTTGGGCTTTTAAAACCTAACTTTTGGAGTCTAGTCTCCTTCACGAACTTTGCATTCTGAACTGTCTTAGAGATTGTAATAGAGGTCATTTAACTGGCTGCCAAGACAAGATGAGGTGCAAAAATACTGGTGTTTTGCCTTGTGATAAAACTGGGTTTTCCTTGTAAGTTATAGAGAATGAGCTGCTTGTTTGGTTAATATTTTTAGATGTTTGCTACAACAGAGGATGTCCCTTTTCATTTATAGAAGAGCTAGCTAGGTACTGTAAGATTAGAGAGTAGTAGCTATCTACTATTTTTACCCATACTAGTGACCAGAAGTAAATGATTGAGTGTATTATCTCTCGGGCACTAAGCTAAAATAAAAACCGTAAAATAGCTCACCTTTGGCCTTCGTGGATTCATTCTTTGAGGAACTTGACTAGAATTTTTTTTCCCTCAGGCTAAGAGTAGTTTGGGGTGGGGGGGGATGAAACTGACTTTTCAAAATTTCCAAGGCAAGGTGGTCCTTAATTTGGACTTTCTTCTTTTTAAAAGTTACACTACAGTATATAGCAATATTAGCATGTTTGGACGTTGTTGACTACTGCCTTGGCTATAAAGATAATTGTTTAGCTGTATTATTAAATAAAATTTTTTTCAGTAACTACAGAGCCTACTGCATTTATTGAATTTATCTGGTCACATTAACATAAACTTGTTTAATGATTCTGATTAGGTTAGTTTTTGTTTATAGTATTTGAAATATTTTTACTCGTCATAAATATAGTGGGTAATAGAAGAATCCTCCTCCAAAAATTGTTATTGTGACTGACCAACCTTGTATGTAAACTGGATGCCATCCCACCTGAGACAAAATTTAGAAATCTAGTAAATCTTGATGTCAGCTGAAAGGTAAAGGATTCAGACTAGAGGAACTCAGTTTCCTAAAATAGAGTAAACATTTACTTATTTGCGAAATGCTTACTAGGGATGATGGAATAGGGAAGCTGAGACAAGTGGGATCCAATTTCCCACTTCCCTCAAGTCATGGGTATAGATTTGCTGCCTCTGTGAAAGACCTGCATTGGACTCCCTACTTTACCAATTAATTTTTCCAGCCCTTTATATACAAAATGAGAGAATTGGATTAGTTCAGAGATGTCAAACAGGGCCTATTGAAAAGCTCCCAGATGCAATTGGAACTACATTAAAATGTAATGAAATATTTAACAAGGCAAAAATAGAGCATGTATGTGTGTGTATGTATACATATATATAATGTTGATAGGTTTTCTAAGTCAGCATGTGACCAGCAGAAATCCTTAGACTACAGTTTAGTTGCCCCCATTTCTGCTAAATACCACTGGACTAGTTGATTTTAAATCAAAAGATCCGTCACAACTCAGCTATCCGGGGTCCTATTCTTTCAAAATTATAAGTAGTGCCAAAGTATCTGAAAGGAGGGAGGGGCAAAGTAATAACTTTTGAAGGTCAAACTAGGGCATTTCATTTCTCTGAGGTGCTAAGCCACAAAGGTAACCAGTACAGAATTATTCCAGTTGCCCATGGTATCCTTGTTTTTCAGTGGTAGTTAAACTGATTTTGAACTAAGTATAGTCTAAAAGGTCATATAACTGCTGTCAGTTGTGTCTGACTATATGACCCCAGTTGGAGTTTTCTTGGCAGCAATGCTACAGTGGTTTGCCATTTCCTTCAGCTCATTTTACAGATGAGAAAACAGGCAAACAAGGTTAAGTGACTGGCCCAGGGTCACACAACTGCCATGTGTCTGAGGCTCAATTTGTACTAGGGACGATGTATTCCTGACTTGTCCAGCACTCCACTGTGCCACCTAGGTGGCCTAAATACTTATCATAACAGCAGTAAGTAAAGCTGTCCCATTAAACTTTGCATTAGTGTGTCACATTATACATAGAGAATAGAGAGGAACAGAAATGATTCTATGAGGAAACGAGTAGATTAGCCTCAAGAAGGTAGAGTAATTTGAATTTACCCAGTATTAAAAATGAAAAAAAAAAGTTTTTGGTATAAAGAAGACTTGGAAGAAATGAGTTTAAGCTGTAGGGTTTTAGGGTTTGATCGATTGTCATGATCCGCTTTTAAATGAGTGCATAGTGGGAAGGTGGTTTGTCCATGCCTGCAAATGCTGAAGTAGAATTATCAAGCTGTGTTTTACATTTAGATAGTTCTTTCACCTTAATTAAGTACTTAATTTGAGCCCTCAAAAATCTTGGAGGTATGCAAAAGGCATTTTTGTTGGATTGAATTTGCCCAGCTTTCCTAAATTTAATTCCTGTTAATCGTTCTAGTTAATGGAGCTGGAAACTAGGTTTGTCCTGCTCTTGCCATGTTTGTAAGCTGTGAGTTTTCAGTGTTAGAGAACATGGATTCACATCCCGTGATTTGACCTAGAGCAAGTCATTTTCACCTCTGTGGGCCTGGATTTCTCTATCTTTAATATGAGTTGGTGGGATTAGATGGCCTTCCAGCTCTAAATCTACTATCCTATAATCTCCACATTAAGTCACCAAGTTCCTTCTTAAGGCCTTTTGTATCTGTACCATCTTGCCCTGACTGCTATTGCCTTAGTCCAGACTCTTGTTGGCCTCATACCTTGGGATGATGGTCATGGTGGCATCATTACTGTGCCCAAAATAGCTGAGATGAACTGTTCTCTGATATTCCTCAATTATTTGGCCTTAGTCCTCTTTTAATTTGTACGGCATTACTTTGACAGCAAATAATACAAGTGATAGTGTTTTCTGATGGATATCTTTAAGCAATTCTTCCTGTTTGTAGAGCAGAATAAGACACAGACCTCCTTAACTTGGTTTTCAAGGGTCTCCACAATCTAACGACAGCTCTAGTTTACCTTTCCATATTTTTTTTTCTTTACTTCATATGTGCTAATCTAGCCAAACTGGATGTTATCTTCATTGAGTTTTTCCAGTCCTCTGGCATTCATGAAGGCTCCTTTACCCCAAAGTTGGAATGCTTCAAGGTAGTATTAGGTGCTAACTCCTCTGTGAATCCATATTAATACTTCACACTTCTGTTTTGTAAATCATACTTAGGAATACAGCTCCACCTTCAATTAGCTCTTTGAGGGCCAGGTATGTCTTGTTTTTACATCTTTATATTCTTAGTACCTTGGGTGTAAGCAGATGTTGAAACATTTGAATTTAATCTGACTTGGAAACTTTTTCAAACCAAGGGCCCACCAAAAAAAATTGTAGGCTACTGTAATAAAAAGCAACCTAAATTGTTTAGGGTAGGAGGAGAGAATATAAAACATTTAAAAGTTAGGTATTTTAGTAGGGAATGTAATGTGTTCAGTTTAGAGGACAATGAGCAAGATGGACTAAAACCAGTAAGAAAGTTATTTGTACCTGGGACTAGTAAGAAAACGTAGAGTGAAACAGGAGTGCAAAATTGGACTCAGTAAACTGAAGTAAGTTGGTTTTATATATGTTGAGGAACTACCTCAATATTAACTCGGGAAATAAAAGAAGATATACATTTTTTTGTGCTGAAAAACGCTGTTTTTATTTTCAAATGTCAAAATTTATTTTTCAGATCAAGTAAGTTGATGTGCTTTGTCATAAAGCAGCATATTAATGTGAGTTGAGATAGATGTTTAATAAATTGTGTTAAGTCTTGGAGGGCTTGCTCAGACTTTGAGAGCCATTTGGTCTTTTGTGTATCAACAAACAACCAGAAAGATGTTAAGTAGCTAGCTGGTTAGTTGTTGTTGTGGCAAAAGGAGAGAGGGAAATGCCTCTTATACCAACTTTGCTCCATGAAAGATGGAGACCAACTCCATCTGAGAGTCTATTCCAAGAAATTGTTGAGACTAGGAGGACAGGTGTCCTTTATCACCTGTCCTTCTAGGACCTAGATGATTGTTCTTCCTTCTGTACTTAACAGTGAGAACCCAACCATAGCCCAATTCAGCCCCTTCCCTTCCTCTGTCCTAAAGACTCCAAATGCATAGTTATTAACCAACGCATTTGAAATTGCTAATGTTTTTCGTACTGTAAGTCCATTATTGGGCATTCTAAGTATCCTGTTCATAAGAATCACAGATTTAGGGCTGGAAGGAACTTTAGAGGCCATTGAGTCAAACCTTGTCAGTACAATCTATTTCTGCCTTTGTCAGAATTTATGACAAGCATGCTGTTCAAATGCATCCTTTTAACAGTATGACTATACTTATATTTTCAGCCTGTACTACCCTACAGAGTGACGAGTTCCTTAATTCCAGACTTTTTGGTATTGAACAAAAAAGCCACAACTTTTTACTCAATTGGTAGACTATGCCAAATAAAATAATAGTAATTCCAATAAAGCCAAGTTCAGTTACACAGAATTTTGCGTACATGAACGATTTGATCAAGTAGGAAATAGACTTTCTCTGAACCCCATAGGCTTCCAGTTATTTAACCTGTTATCTTTCGAATATTTTTTTTAACAAGCATTTATTTTTACTCTTCCACTTCTTCCCTACCCAGTTAAATAACAAAATCCTTGTAACATTCATTTGTAGTGAGGTAAAACAAATTCTTTCAGTCTGCATTCTTGAATCCAGGAAATGGGTAGCAGTCATCAGTCCTTTGAAATCATCTTTGGTCTTAGCATTGATCAGAGTACTTAAGTCTTTCAAAGGTGTTTTGTCTTTTTTTTTTTACTTTTTAACAGCATTTTTTTAATTGCATATAAAGATAATTTTCAACATTCATTTTTTATAAGATTTTGAGTTCCAAATTTTCTCCCTCCCTCCTCTCTCCCCTCTCCAAGACTGCCAGCAGTCTGATATGGGTTATACATATGCAATCATATAAAACATTTCCATGTTAGTCATGTTGTGAAAGAAGAAACAGAATAAAAGGGAAAAAAACTTGAAAAAATAAAGTGACAATAGTATGCTTTGATCTGCATTCAGACTCCATCAGTTCTTTGTCTGGATGTGGATAGCATTTCCCATCATGAGCCTTGGAACTGTCTTGGATCATTGCATTGCTGAAAAGAGCAAAGTCATTCATAATTGATCATTGCACAATGTTGCTGTTACAACATAGTGTTTTCCTGGTTCTGCTCACTTCACTCAGCATCAGTTCATGTAAGTCCAGGTTTTTCTGAAATCCTCATCATTATTTATAGCACAATAGTATTCCATTACATTCATATATCACAACTTGTTCAGCCATTCCCCAATTAATGGGCATCCCCTCAATTTCCAATTCTTTGCCACTGCAAAAAGAACTGCTACAAATATTTTTGTATGTGTGGGTCCTTTTCCTTTTTTGTGATCTCTTTGGGATATAGACCTAGTAGTGCTATTGCTGGATCAACAAGTAGGCACAGTTTGATTGCCTTTTGGG